GCCCCCCATCACCGCTATGTGATGGAACCGATCAAAGGAGCCCAGAGAGATTTATTTGAAGTGGAAGCAGAGGCTAAATCAAGTGCAATATGATCTAACAAAAGATTTCTATACTGGTTAATGCAGAGATTTTCTCTATTTTTCCAATTCAAGAGGATAGTTTTCTTAGCGATGCATATGGCAGTCAGAACCACGTGAACCAAAGATTTTTCAATCGGGACATCATCCAGGTTTCCCAGTAAACAAAGAGAGGGGGTGATTGGGATATGACATTTCAGAGACTTTGACAGGTCTTCACATACTCTACCCCAAAATTCCTGGACAGGTGGACAGGACCACGGTGCATGAACGTAATTGTCAGGAATGTTGTTTGTGCAGTGTGTACAGATGTCAGACGACACAAACCCCATCTTGAACATCCGATGACCTGTATAGTGTACTCTGTGTAGAACTTTGTACTGAATTAATTGTAAATTGGGGTGTCTGATCATTTTAAAAGTTTTTAAACAAGTTTGGGACCAGAAGTTCTGGTCAAAGCTGACTGATAGATCCACCTCCCATTTTTCAATAGGGATTGCTATTCTATCGTCTATTTTGGACAGTGTCTTATATACTTTAGACAGTAGTTTAGGGGGTTTGAGATTGCAGAAGTCTAAAACCCTTGGCGGGGTTTGTAATTCTATTTTATTGAGCTTAAATTTTTGTTTAACTACAGATTTGATTTGGTGGTATTCTAAAAAGCTATTCTTTTCTATTCCAAATTGGGAGACTATTCTATTAAATGGGATGAAGTCCAATCCTTCATATATGTTTTCCAGGTATAGGATTCCTTTATTTTTCCAGTCCAGAAGGTTCATCATTTTATTATTTTGCAAAATATCAGGATTATTCCAGATAGGTGTGCGTCTGCATGGTACTAGTGAAGACTCTGTCATTTTAAGATACTCCCACCATGCTGTCAGAGAAGTGCTGATACTAATACTTTTGAAGCCTTCATGTTTTCTTACGCTTGAGCTAATAAATGGTAAGTCTGAAAGCTCTATCGTATTGCAAAGTGTCTGTTCTATATCTAACCAGGACTCGTCTAATGGGTTATCTTGCAACCATCTTGGTATATATTGCAGCCTGTTGGCTAAAAAATAATAATAAAAGTTGGGTAGATCCAGTCCTCCTCTGTCTTTGCTCTTCTGAAGCGTTTTTAAGCTAATTCGTGGAGGTTTATCCTGCCAGAGGAATTTGGTAATTGAGGAGTCCAGAGATCTAAACCAGTCAGCTGGTGGTTTGTTTGGGATCATTGAAAATAAGTAATTTATTCTGGGTAAGACCATCATTTTAATTGTAGCAACTCTTCCCATCAGTGATATTGGTAAGGATTTCCATCTAGCAAGATCATCCTCCACTTTCTTTAAAAGTGGGATGTAGTTTAATTTGGTTAGATCTGCTAACTTGGGAGAGACATTAATTCCCAGGTATGTGATATTACCTGACTCCAGTTGAGTATTAAGTAAATTGACAAAAGAGAAATTAATTGGTAGAACTGTTGATTTTAACCAGTTTATAGAGTAATCTGAAACTTTTGAAAAAGAGTTTATCAGTTCTATTGAATGAGACAGAGACGATTGAGAATTCTGGAGGAAGAGTAAAACATCATCTGCATAAAGACTGATCTTATGTTCTATTTTATTACACTTTATCCCTTTAATACCTGTTGTTTGCCTAATTGCTGCTGCTAGTGGTTCGATAAAGATAGCAAACAGTGAGGGGGAGAGTGGGCATCCCTGCCTGGTCCCCCTCTGAAGACAGAAGCTAGCTGATATTTGGTCGTTCGTCCTAACACGTGCAATTGGCGAACTGTATAATGTTTGTAGCCAGTTTATGAAGAAGTTCCCAAAACCAAATTTATGTAAAGTTGCAAATAAGAACTTCCAGTTAACTCTATCAAAAGCCTTTTCTGCATCTAGAGATAATATACTAGTTTCTATGTTTCTACTGTAAGAGAAATCTATCAAATTAAGTAATCTACGCGAATTAGTGGACGACTGTCTACCCTTTATGAAACCAGTTTGGTCAGGGTGTATTAAGAAGGGGGTTACCTTCTCTAATCTTTTTGCCAGGGCTTTACAAATTATTTTGAGATCAACATTAATAAGAGAAATTGGGCGATAGCTGGTTGGAAATGCTGGGTCTTTGCCTGGTTTTAACAAGAGACTAATATTGGCTGAGTTCATGTTTGGCTGTAATCTGCCGCTCTCTTCGATTTCCCTCACCATTCTGAAAAATGTTGGAGCCAAAATGGTCCAGAATTCTTTGTAGAACTCTGCTGGGAACCCGTCTGGACCTGGAGCTTTCCCATTAGTCATGGATTTAAGGGCTTCCTGGAGCTCTGCTGATGTTAGTGGCGAGTCCAGGACTGCAACTTGGCTGTCTGTTAATTTAGGAAGTGTTATCCTATCAAGGAACTCATCGATCTCGTCATCTGATGGGTTTATCTGTGGTGAGTACAAAGTTTGGTAAAAGTCTCTGAAAGTGTTGTTTATTCTTTCAGGGTCATAAACTATATTCCCAGTTGAGTCTTTAACAGCAGATATGGTAGTTTTCTCTTTATTAATTTTTAATTGGCTGGCCAGAAATTTACCGGATTTATTACTATGTTCAAAGTTTTCTATTCGTAGTCTTTGTGCTAAAAATTGTGTTTTTTTGTCAATAATTCCATGAAGTTCTAATTTAGCTTTACGTAATTTGCTCAGTAACTCTTCTTCTGTGGATGTCTCTAAAGACTTAATGATTTCTTCTAACTCCTGGATACGTTTATTTTCTGTTTTTTTCTTATGTGATGAGAAAGAGATTATTTTACCTCTCATCACTGCCTTTCCTGCCTCCCAGAGAATAGATGCTGATGTTCCAGGCAGGTCATTATGTTCTAAATACAAAGCCCACTCCTTTTTAAAAAATTCTATAAAACCTTCATCTTTAAGCAGTGATGTATTAAACCTCCAGTTTTTGCTTGGTGGGATTGCTTTCTTGTTTACTAGAGTTAAAGAAACCGGAGCATGGTCGCTGACAACAATAGGGTGTATCTCAGTGTCTGAAATGTCAGCCAGCAATGAGCTGCTGACTAGAAAATAATCCAAACGTGAATGAGAGTGATGGACGTGTGAGAAAAAAGTATACTCTCTACGGTTAGGATGAAGAGATCGCCATGCATCACAAAGCCCATAATCACTCATGTACTGTTTAACTATATAAGTAGATTGCCAATTGCGCCGAGTCCCAGCTGTACTGAGCCTGTCTAAGGAATGCATCCAAAGATTAAAATCACCTCCAAGTATAAGTGGACAGTCCAAGTGTTCGGAGAGTACAGAGAAAAAATTATGAAAGAATGAAGGGTCATCAATATTTGGACAGTATATGCTCACAATACATAAGCGTTGGTTCTGTATAGTTATTTTTAACATTATAAATCTACCTTCTGGATCAGAAACTGTGTCCAGTACTGTGAAATTGATGTTTTTGTGTATTAAAATAGCTACCCCTCTTTGCCTAGAGTTATAGCAGGCAGAGAACATGCTGGGAAACTCAGGTGTTTTAAGTTCATCTGCCGATGTGGCAGATCTATGAGTCTCCTGTAATAATATTACGTCTGCTTGCATTCTTTTTAACTGATCAAAAATTTTTAATCTTTTATCTCTTGAGCCAGTTCCATGTACGTTCCATGAGACAAATCTTAGTGCACCCATAGATGTGTGTGTGAGTAGCTAAAATATGACGCCTTCATGTGAATAAGATGGAATAAGTATCTAAATGTATAAAATAGTATGTTAATAAATAACAGAAAAGTAAATAATAACTAGAACTGCAAGCAGTTATCAACGGGTTCCAAGCCCCCAGCGCCAGTCGCCCACCCGGCCCTACCCTCACCTTCGCCAGTCCTCACGCGGTCCCGCCCCAAAAACACGTTCTCCCGCCGGCGTCCCGTCAGCTCACTTCAACCGGTGCAATGAAAGTATTACTCAGGATTTGTCATGAAACCTTTTGCTTAGCCTAAACACATACCAGCATGTGACTGTGTGTGTGAATGGCTGAATGCAGACTTCTGCAGGCCTGGTAAGTCATGTGCTGTTTTGGACAGCAGAAGTTCAGGAAACGGAGTGGGATTTCCATTAATTGGAAGGTTTTGGATTTGATTCCAAGTCTGACCAGAGAATGCAGTTGTTGTGTCTTTGGACAAGACACCTTGGCTGCTGGTGCTGGGAGGGGCCGGTGGTGTCAGTTTTCGGCAGGCCTCACCTCTGTCAGTGTGCTTCAGGGAAGCTGTGGCTACATTGTAGCTCATTCCCAGTAGTGTGTGACTGTGTGTGTGAATGGGTGAAAGACTGATTGTGTTGTTAAGGGACTAAGGCGCTATACAAATCCAAAACATTTACCATTTCAATATTACTGACGATGTTTAGTAAATGTATTAAAAATGTATTATTTTCATAGGAAATCCTCCAATGTTTTTTTGAAAATCATCATGGGTCAAGTTTTGTTATTTTATAGTTTTTAAATTTTTTTTTTCAATAAGACGATATATGGAGATTGATAATTGAACTGAATGAAACAAAACTGAATAAAATCCATATTTAATCTAAAGATTTCCTGCAATTTGTGCCAGTGGCCCCTTGCCCTGCACATTCTTGTAACCTTTTTATCTGGCCATGGTCAAAATCACATAGTTATCTCTGGTCAAAATAAAACGAGTAGACATTTGGTCAAAATAAAACAAGTAGACATTTATTATGAGCACGAAATTGCCCAAAATTCAATGAAACACTTCATTTTGTAGGTACAAAGATGTAGGTAAAAATGATGGTACATTATTCAAACAATTGAATTAAAAAAACAGCAGTTTATTGTATGTCAAATTTTGCCAATTGTGGGGGAGACTTTGTAGAGGAAACAATATTTTTACAACACTATGCATTGAAATTAGGATACCAGAAATTATATTGATTCAAGAGTACAGAAAACACTTTATTGTTATCTACATATGTAAATGTACAAATGATGTGTTACACAATGTATAGCAAAGTGGCAGAAGGGCATTCTGAGGCAAAGTGTCACGTTGGGAATGTTTTACCCAGGACATGAAAAAAATCACAGATGGAAACTATGGCAAGTGAATAACAAATAATATTTATTAAGAACAATGTGAAACTGAAAACGGTGCTCCAAACTGGAATAGGAGGGGTCAAGATCTAGAACGGGAAAGTAAACTGGTGTTAGAATCACGAAACTCTGGAACCAGAGAACCAGAACTGGAATTGTTTGGAGAACTATTCTTACTGGAGATGATCGGTCTTGGTGAGGCAGGGCTGGGGCTTTGGGGCCAGGTAGGGACAGACAAGCAGCAGGGAATGAGGATCCAGGATGGGATGAGGAAACAGGTTGCAAGGCAGGATATGATGCAGGTCCAGAGGCTGGTAGTTAGGCAGGCTGGGAAGCAAACAGGACGACAGGCAGGCGGCGTGGTCACATGATGGTTGCTGATTCGGCAGATTTCGGTTGTGTTGTTTCAGGAATTTCATCTGGTGGGTGATTGTTCCTAGTGGAGATTGAAAAAAAGAAGAGTGCTGTAAAATGAAGTCTTTAACAAAGGAAAATAAAAATAGTACTAGAATAAGTGAATTTGTGAATATCTAAATGGATACATTTTTATACATTGAAACAGTGATGGCACAACACAAAGTAACATTTCAAGTGTCCATTATCAAAACCACAAGTAAGTGTGATACTGTCATACACTTTTTTATGAATAAAAAGTGTATTTCACATGCTTTATGTACATTAAATGGTAAGGTATGGTATGGTATATATGTATATGAGTCCAAATAACTTTAGATGATTTTGAAGCAACATTGATTTTGTATGAATGAAACGGACCTCTATGTGTAATTTGTTATGGTCAGCTCTGGTGTCCACCTGTCCATCTATCTGTGATTGTCTGTCTTTCCCCTTGAGGCAATTTGTCCTGCAGTCCCTGTCTGTCTGTCCCCAGTTCCTGTAACTGTATGTCTGTGTCTGTTCCTGTCAAGAATGATATTTGAATACATTCATGGTAACTGTAATAGGTGGGAATAACTTCTACATGTATGGTTTTGGGATCAATGTCTTTGATGTAAACATGATCAATTAGAGTATTATTTTCGGTTGTTGGACTTGTTACTATTTGAGTGTATCCTTGCAATTTCATGAAGCTGACAAATGAATTAGAAACCAGTGCATCGTCATTCATGTCACCCATGACTATTTTGGTTCCTGGAAATTCATTGAAATAATGCAGTACAGGTTGTAGATTGTCTTTGAATTTCTGAAGGTTATATGATGGTGGTTTGTACAACAGCATATAATGATGGTTTAAAGTCTGTGTGCTAAAAAGCAAAGCTTCCAGGTTGTTGCAATTGAAAGCCATACTTTTACACATAATGCTGTTTTTGTGATAGAAACCAACACCACCACCATTTTTGCTTCTGAATGTAGAAAATAGTCCAGTTTCATCGTATGAGTCAGATCTTGTTTTGTGGTGAAAAGTCCAACCTGGCAGTGAAATGCTTTCAGGGGGATGTGTTTCTTTTAACCAAGTTTCTGTCAGACAAATTATATCGGCTGTGAGTAGTTTTTGGTTGCTCTTGACATCCTGTATGTGATTTTTGAGACCTTGCACATTATGAAGACAGACTTTAAAAGTGCAGTTTGGCATTGAAACTGGTGTGTCGATAAAGTTTGGCATTAATTTCAAGTTTTCTTCCACATCACTTCTTGCATAGATTGCTTTAGCTTTAAAATCTTGGATAGTGAGGTGTTCTAGTGATGTAACACGACTTAAAGCTACATATGCTTGTCCAGCAGAAAAAATCCTTTTAAAAGAGACTACTGCTTTCTGTAGTGTTAGGCCTTGGACTTTATGTATGGTGCAAGACCAAGCCAGCCGCAGTGGAAATTGACGTCTAACCCCCTTTTCAAGTTTATCTTCATCGGGACTAATTGGTGTAGCATTAGTCAGCTCGGTGTCTGAAGTTGGAAACTTGTGTCGTAGTTGTTGGCCTATACTTGGGTTATCAAAGTTAACATAAATGATGTGTGGGAAGCTATTGTTACCTAGAAATTGTATGCGACAAACAGTACCAAACACACCATTGACAAGTCCATCAGAAACATCGATGTTTTTAATGAGCATTACACGAGCTTTAGGAGCAATACTTAGTAATTTATCTAAATAGGTTTTCTTGCCAAAATCAAGTGTTGAGGGTATTCTAGTGGTACGGCCAGTCTGAGGGTTTTTATGGAAATCTTGGGCTTTGATTTGTACAATGTCTGTACATTGTTTATGCAACATGTTGAAGTTATGATTATCAACATCACTGTTTGTTGCAAAAAGATGTAGAATTTCAGTGTCTTCACCCATGCCTGTTTCACATCGTTTGAGAAGTGCTTCGTCTTGTGGGTGAAGTGGTTGGTCTTTTTTGTGTTTCCTTAAACGGTTAAGTGTTACAGCAAAGTCTTTGTTTTTCTGTCGTACTATGTCTGTGAGTTCTACATGACTGAAACTGTTTTGCCACAAATTGGAACCAATGGGGTCCTTGTAGAGTGGAGTCCCTTTGACAGGTGGCAACTGATAAAAATCACCAACAGCTATGACGGAGACATTACCAAATGAAGAAAAGTCTGAACACTGTTTGATCTGACGCAGTCTACCATGGATATATGTTAAAAGCTTGTTATCAACCATTGAGATTTCATCTATTATCAAGATTTGTAAATGTTTCAGGGTTGCTCTTAATGTGTTTATTTTTTCCTCTCTTAAAGGTTGGTATGGTAATGAAATATTATTGCCAATTGCAAAGCTATTATGTATTGTTGTGGCATTGATATTTAATGCAGCCACTCCAGTGGGGGCAGTCAATAAAACATGAATATCATCAGGATAATTAGATAATCTGGATAGTATTCTGGTTGTTTCATAGGACACGGCTTTTACCAAATGGGACTTGCCTGTTCCCGCGCCACCTGAAATGAAAACATAAAAAGGGCTTGGATTGTGACCGTTTACTTTATCTAAGCACCACTGCCGGATTTTATAAAACACGTTGCTCTGCTGCTGATTTAGAGAACGCATTAAGGATTGTGCTTCCTTGTGTGAGACTATCTGTTTTTGAATGTGAAATGATAAAGCTGGTTTTGTGATTGGCTCTAGATCTGGAATAACTTCTTGTTCACCAGGATTTGGATTGTTATCTAAAGATCTGTCTTCCAAACATTCTAATCGGTCTAGTTCTGCCTCAGGACACAGCTCTGCCCAAACATCTTCTTGAAATCCAAAGTGTTCAATATCTTCCTGTATGTTTTGTAAATCTTCTGCTTTGATTTCAAACTTGGATCTGTTGAATTCTACTACGTCTTTGACAGACTGGATGTTTTTACTACTGTTTGTGATTGAGCCGGTCTCATAAAACTCTTGAAATGTTGTAAATTGTGATGGTTTTAACTGGTTTTCCGTGTAATAAGGAAGGAACAACTGAAGCTGGCTTTGATAGTGTTTCTCAGGATCTTGTTCTTTAGAAAAACGAGCATATCTAACAACAGCTACATTTGTCCTTGTCCGCTTCCTTACACAACCATTGTTGTTTAATAAACTTACCACTTCTGGTCTAGATTTCTCACTGTTTGGTACATTTCTGTATTCTGAGGCAAAAGTAGCTATGCACATGTCCATAAATTCACTGGACTTAGGCCTGCTTTTGTATCGATCAGTAATGTTTGTCATCCAGATCTGATTACCATTAGCACTGTTTTGAATGACATTAAGAGGTAAGCTCATTCTGACAATGTTGTCACCTGTTGGAACAAATGTGACTTTTCTAGAGCCCTCTTTTAATCTCATGTTTGTTACCCGATACACACTTTCTTGAGCAGAAACTTCTCTGTTATGCAGAAACACATTCCCTAATTTGTTAAGCGCTTGTTTTGCATCCAGGTTTTCATTATGTTTGATTTCATTTTGTGCATGTTTTAATAGCAAACCCATTTCTCTTTCTGCTTTGGATATGTAGGAAATGATATAAACAATGCATGCATATGCATCACAGACAAACTGGATGTCCATGTTTGCATTCCAGCAACGTAGCAGGTCTGTGTTATACTGGTTAACCCAGATGTCGTTTATGTTTCGTTTATGGACGACAGTTGTTTTTGTAGAGGTCAATTTGTAGACTGTTTCAAATGTAGTCTGGTCAATACCAATGGAATTAAACAAGTCATCTATGCTACTAAATGTGTTGTTTTCACTGGTCAAAGCTTCTTTAACTTTGGTCATGATATGCTTGGCTGCCTTTTTTAAATCTGAAGATGTTTTGTCAGATGGGTTTTCCTTATTGTCAACATCTGTTTCCTGTGTGCATATGAATGTATTGTTGCTTGGTGGTCGGGGAAAGTGAAACCTGCAAGTTGTGTGATTTTTTCTGCAACTTTTAGAGTGTTTTTTGCTATGCATTTGAACACTATGTACCACTTCATGGAGAGGGTCACTGTCAGGTGGGAGGTCGCATGTAACATATTTATCTACAAAAGCTATGACTTCAGCGTCTGTGTTGACTCCTATTTTAGGCCCGTCGGTCCAAAATAGACAATGAGTGTGACATGATCCACGTTGCTGAAACTCTACTCTATAAAAATAATCAATGATTTTACCAATTGGCTGAGCGGGAGACATGATAACATCTTTTAAAAAAGATCTAAATCTATTGTCAAACATTCTGGCTGCTGTCACTGGATTGTTTTTCAATAAGTCACATTTCTGTGCCCAGTCCATGTCATGAATATTGCCTTGAATATTTTCTATAGCCATAAAAGCTTCCATAAATTCTGGCCATCTTAAATCTGCTGAAGAAAAGGAAGCAAACCATGTTGGAATGCCAAGTTGTCTAACGTAAGCAAACAGATCTTTTTGAACTCCCTGCCAAAATACTGGTGTACCTCTAATGGGCTTCAAAAACTTATAGCCCATGTCAGCATTTAAAACATTCTTCAAAAAGTCTGTATTGCCCAGCATGGATGATGTAATGTTGGTGTTGTCTACGCCATGGTAGCCCTTTCTCAGTGCAATGGAAACATTTGACACAACTTGATTAACTTCTGACAAATATTGCGCATAAAAGATATAATCCAAGTTCTTGCCAAATCTGCCATCAGCATTGAGAATTCGGGTGTTTAAATATTTGCTGAGTGTAATCCTTTGCTCTCTTGCATCATGAAATGTACCTGTTCCATTGGGAAACAGAACTGGAAAGCATTTAGCCTCATTAGAAGTATCGGTAAGCAATCTGACTGGAGTATTTCCCTCAGCTGGTGCTACTGATAAAACACTGTCAAAATGGTTGTCTAGTATTTCTTGGGCAATGTCTACTGGTTGCATACATGTGTCCAAAAACATCCCATGCTGTTGTCTATCATTAAAATGATCATCGCTAACAAGATCTTCAGACTCTACCTCGGTGCCACTGCCATTTCCTTTGCCAGGATGTTCACACTCTATTTCAGCTCTATTGCTGTCTTCTTCCAAAGTGACGTTGTCAGTTTCAGAGGTAGAGTTTTCAGAATCTTTTTCTAGGGGATTTGTCCATGCACTGTTAAATTGTACATCTTTGTAAAAAGTATTGTGAGATTTAAGGTATGCAATTGCATTATGTACTTTCAGAGCGTTGACATACTGATAGTCATAGTGACCCTTGTATGTCAGCTTTCGCTTGAGTTTGACTTTAATCATTAGATTCTGATCATCTAATCTGGGTAGAATGTTACTCACAGTTTCTGTATTAGATGGAACACAAGTCACAGGTCCATGGACACCATTTTGTCCACCCTTTGGTAAGGCTAAAAGTTTCATAAACGGAATGTGCTGTGCCACTAGATGTTGCTCAAGAGGATTCAACGTACTAAGTTCTACAGGAATTGAATCTAGGTGCATATTGTTTGCAACACTTTCTTCAGGGACTTTTCCATTGAGTATTTTACGATGACAAGTAAAACAGACCCACAATTTACATGCAGGGCTAACCTCTAGATGGCATTTGGAAACTGAAGACTGTCCACACTTGTGTAAATAAGTGTTAGTGATGCATTTTTTTGCCACAGATGAAATGAATGAACCTCTAATTTCATACTGCTGTGTTTTACATTCAACAACTTGATGTTTAAAAAGTAACCGATGACAAACACAACAGACGAATTGAGGGCCAAATTTAACCTTTTTTCTAAAAAGCTGAATGACATTGTCTATGAAGTTTTTTCTAGTCATGAGATTTTGTCGTCTACGTTTTCCGTGCTCCTTAACAGAATCGGCATAAACAGTTACATTTCTATACCGTTCAGAATTAGACTGTTTGATGCGGTTACGGTGGTCAACCTTATTTCTATATCTTTCCACGTTCTGTTTAAGTAACTGAAGTTTAGCTTGTTTACTTTTGGTTGCATAGGTGTTTTTGCTGGCAAGTTTGAGTCTTGCTCTCAGTTCGGGTTTGTTTTTGTAGTTTTCTTTACTGTCATGTCTCAGTCTTGCTCTCAGTTCCGGCTTTTTGTAGTAGTTTTGTTTATTAGCAAGTTTGAGTCTAGCTCTCAGTTCAGGATTGTTTTTGTAGTTTTCTTTACTGCCATGTCTGAGTCTAGCTCTCAGTTCAGGTTTGTTTTTGTAGTTTTCTTTACTGTCATGTCTGAGTCTTGCTCTCAGTTCAGGCTTTTTGTAGTAGTTTTGTTTATTAGCAAGTTTGAGTCTAGCTCTCAGTTCAGGTTTGTTTTTGTAGTTTTCTTTACTGTCATGTCTGAGTTTTGCTCTCAGGTCTGGCTTATTTCTATATGTAATGACACTTAATTGCTTCTTGTGTAATCTGTATTTAGGATTTTCCTTATACAATTTCTGTAACATCATTATTTTGCTTTCCCTTTTCTCAATGTCTTCATTATACAGAGTTCTCTTTCTCCTGTTCTCTCTGCTTATCTTAGATGGAGATAGTATGTCCTTGTCGCCTTTAAAGTGACTGTAATTACATGAGATCAGGTTAAAACATGTGTTAGTTTTATCTTTCACACATGCGATTGGCTCATAATGACATGCATTACAGTGTTTCAGATAAATACCCTTGGTGTTGTCTAAAGTACTAGGAGAGCCATATTGTAACCATTTTCCTTGAGTGTAAGTGTAAATATGGGTGTGAAAAAAGTCTGCAGCTGCTTGTATCTCAATCTCTGTAGCCCAGGATCCAACTTTCTTTATGCCTGTTTGTGTAACATACTGCTGTACTGATTGAAATTCCTGTCTGATGTAACTTGAATAGAGGTCAGAATTTTGAAGAATTTGATTAACAACAGCCCTGCGAATCCACATATGCAACTCTTCATTCCCAGTAATTACAAATGCAAGAGCACGGAAAAAGCAGTTGCCGTCTGGCTGGATGTGTACAGTGGTACAAGGTAACGGTTCATCTAATGTAATACTTTCCCAAAGACTTGTCACCCTTTCTAAACTTGGAACTATCTGTAGTTGGGTGCAAAAGTTTCTTTTGTCTTTAGAGGTCAGAGGATTGAAAGTAACAGTGCTGTTGATATTTTCTGAAATTATGAAAACAGATGTATCATTTTGTGGCACTTCTTCAATTATTTCTTGATCCAAAGAAGTGTGATGATTTTCAGTTACTGAGTCTACATCAGGGGAAGTGGTGTCATTAACTTCAATATCTTCTATTTCCTGAAGTACTACTTTATCAAAACTATCATCATCAAAACTAGTACATACTGACTCTGCATCATCTTGAAAAGAACTATTTTGCATATGGATGAGCTCACAATGAGATGGAGATTCAGAAAGAGACTCAGATGTGTCACTGACTGCAACATCTTCAATCTCTTCAACTACTAACTGATCAAACGTATCATCATCAAAACTATCATCATTTCCACTGATTAACTCTACATCATTTTGGCAAGAAGCAGTTTTACTTTGGATAGGTTTACTCATAGATTGAGCAGTCACCTTAACACCGGTCATTTCAAAAGCTGTGTCCTCTTCATTTGCATTGTCAGCACACAAAGAGTGAGAGAGATTGATTAAATGTGTATAAACTTGGTCTAAAGTATCAAAGTGTGCTACTATGCTTGTGCCATTCAACTGCCAGAGACCATCATGACCACGTGAATGTGGATCAAAAACAGAAAACTGAGATTGTTCTTTCAAAACCGCACATGTGTTTCTACTAATTGTAAACAGACAGCCGTCATTGTCAAATGTAGCTCTCTGTAATGCAACGTCCAAAGGCATGGCAAAATCGGAAACATCTTCATGGTAAATCTGCTGATGAAGATTTCCTGTGAAGGTCTGCATGTATTCCAAAGAGAACTTGTGATGATGGAATGTGTGCTCTGTGGGTAATTCTTGAACAAAAACATAACCACTACCTTCTGCATCACTGATCATGTTTTGCTTTTTCATGTAAGTGTATAAACTATCACCACTTATCAAGATATTGTTAATGTCTTTTCTTGACCATGTGGAAGCCATTTTGACAGTGTTTGTCATGATGGCTGTAATGCTGTTTGGTGCACACTGTTTAAATCGGTTGCACCCAAAACGCTTATGGCCTTGATGAAATGAACCTTTGACAATAGAATGAAAAGTGTTCAAACTTTCCTGATTTGATGAGGAAGATGCAGTGGTAGCACTTGAAGCTGCAGCACCAGGAGCATCATGGAACTTCTCAGGTTGAACACTCGTCTCCTTCTCCTTACATTCCTGTGAAAACATAAAGACTCAAAAATTAGAAGAAAATCTATGAATAAAATGGGCATGTTTTCACTTGGGGAAAATGTCAAACCTGTTGCTTTGTAACATCTCCCAGGTCAACAGGTCCTTGGTCTTGGAGAGCATCTGCGTTCTGTTAAAATAAAAAAGTTTTATAATATGTAGGAAATATATGTATTGGAAAGAATGTGTAGGATTAAGTACGCTATTAAACATCAATAATCAGAATATGTTATATAGGTCCTACCGTTTTGCCTTTTGGTACAGGCGATGGAACACTGCATTTGTCGTTCATGCGGAGATGGTGTAGAACCTCAGAGCAGTCTTTCAAATGCTCCTGGGACTGACAGCAAACCTGTTGGAAATCACATCAGGATATTTACAATATATTCTAGTATTGTGAAATTTAAAAATATTTGTTAAGCATATGATGTGATGTCAATAACAACAATCATATTAAAATCCAATGTCAGACCTGGTCCTTGGTGACATCTGTGTGTGAAACAGATCTTCGGTTTTGGAGAGCAGCTGCATACTGTTAAAATGAAAATATTTATTTTAATAAGCAAAGAATATAAGTATTTGAGTAAAAACTTTAGAATGAGCATCATTCAATGAAAAAAGCTGATAGGTCTCACCGTTTTGCCATTGGGAGCTGGTGATGGCACAATGGCGTCACCAGTTTTCACGTTCAGCTTTTGAAGGACAACACTGCAGTCCTTCAGGTACTTCTGTAAGTAAATGAAAGGAATCATTGTAATCCAAAGGTTTCAAATAAAGGCAACAAAACTGATTTGTTTTCTTTGAATGAGAGATTATTCACCTGATAACGAGACATCAGTGTGCCACGTGAGCCTTTTTGATGAATGTGAGATGTCTGAAAGAAAATATCATTCATGGTTTTATGTTAATTTTTCCATTATTGTAGAAATGTGTACCTCTTAAGCAATATTACTACTTTATATTGTAAAAGTATTGTGTGTGTGCATTTTAATTACCTTTAAACTCTCTGCAAGTGTTGGCCATTCATGATCATCAGAGGGCATGATCACTTGCTCCTTTATTGGTGCTGTGGTAGTGGCAGGAGGTTTCTGGATTGTTGCTGCCTGTCCCTGAAATAAAAACAGAATACAATACATGTAATTACTTTGTGCATGTTTTACAGGAGGACTTGGCCAACAAATAGAAAAAAAAGATTAAAAAAACAAACCTGCATGTTAACAACACTTTTCTCTTTTCCAGAGGACTCTGGCTTTCCTTCAGGTTTTACCACCTGTCATCAAAATATGAACATATTGTAAATTCTTAGGTGACAAATATCTAAAATTAATAATGAATGAAAGATTAATATCAAAACACTTTTATGAAAAACCATATTTCTTCATATTTACCTTTTTGTGTTGGACATCTGGTGAAAGCACATCTGGACATCCAGTACTGTCTTTTTCCAAGATATGCAGCAGATCTTCATGGAAGTATTTAGGATTTACTTCAAAGCAGACTTCGGCCTGAACATTGTGATGTAGACAATGTAAGAAAAACTCATATCAATCAACATGGCGAACATCAAATAAAAAAAGAATGATCTAATTTATCAAAGAATTTAAATTAATCATTTACCTCATGAAGACGAATTATCTTTGAAGATGATCTCTGCTGCTTTGGACCAGCTGGAGTAGACCTCTGAAAAAAATTAATAAAATTTTTATATTACACGATTGTTGAATATCTAAACAGCAAAATAATGTCTGCAGTTGAAATAAAAACAGAAAAAACAATTTACCTTCTTGCCAGGCAAAACAACTCTCCACTTAGATTGGTCTGCTTGGGGTTGAATGGGCTTTGCATCTTGAACAACCACTCTAGCAGCAGACTTCTTGGGGGTAACCTGGGCCTTCTGACTTTCGAGGTGCAGGTATGTTTTTTGCCAGAGCAATTGTGCAAAAATGTCCATACCGTCACTGTCACTGAGATGAACCTATAGAAAATAACACATTTTTAGCTAAAGCTAATACCTCTTAATCATTAAAAATCAGTAAGCTTCTCACTTACCCCATCTCTGCCCCACAAATCCAGGCGATGAAAGGGGAAGTGCTCAGCAATTGATGAATATTTGACATCTGAAAGAAATATATTTTGTTAACAATTAGTTTTTCCAGTTAGAAGCATTTTGTATATTGCACACTAAAATTCAACATACCCATTTGTACTGAGACTCTGTGAAACATCATCCTCAGATGGTCCTGCACAACTGTGTCATGGCTCAGTCTTGGAGGGAAATCCAAAACAAAAACCTGTTTTCCACAAATGTTACATGTCATTAAAAGTCATTCTAGAAAAAAGCACCAGAATATAAATTTGATTCAGTGATTGCTTTTCTAATGGCACATTATTTGTAATTGCATCTATCCTTACATTTGGACAAAGAGTGGAAATGGTGTTCAAAAGACACTTGAAGTCTTTTTCTGCTTCAGAAATTGGACTGTCCAGATTGTTGCTTGGAGCAAGTAGACACACTGCATCTGGAACACGTCGGAGAACTAACTGCCGGACCTCAGTGGTAAGGTTGGCTGCTGTACCACCAGGAACCGACAGGTAGCCAAAGGACAGCTTCCCCTCAGGCACCTTCACATAGCCATCCACAATGGCTCGGAGATGTGAATCTCCAATGACGAAGACAAACTAGAAGAAGAAACAATATTTTAATGAAGGATCTCTGAAGATAAAAATCACAAAGCACTTTAGAAACTAAAAAACACACAGCAATCTGTGTGTGAACCTATGAGCACATAATATTGTTTAATATTAATATAAATTAATAGCTAAATGTACCTTCTTGTCTGAAGACTCTGGTGGGATGACAACCTTCAAGCTTTTGCCTGTGTTAGGAGACAAGGGCCAACGACAAACCCTGTGCCTGAAGCCTGTTCCATGACCTAATGGAAAGATAAAGAAAAAAAATTAACACAATATCAATGTAATGTAAATATGTAATTGTAAAGTGTGTCACATAAATTTATCTGAAATTTCTCAGTGTGCATACACCATGTCAATTTCTAAATATGCAACAAAGATTTTCTAAAAAACATTAGATGTTTTGGAAAACAAACTAAATATGTAACTTACGTGGAGTAAAAGCCGTACAGCTTGGCACAACCTTGAACAACTCGTCCACAGGCTTTGGCATAAGCTGTCTGTTCTTCAAGGCCTGAGCTCTACGGTACCCTTTGCCACGAGGCATCTACAACAAGGAAAAAAATACCATAAATTCAGCACAATGCATTATCACTAAACAAATACATTGCACACTAATGTAATATCATGTATTTATTCTATTAAATAGATGATATACAAACCTGAGGGAATGTATGTCTTCTATTTAATAGACAGATTACCTATTAAGCAACAAAGACCTGTCTTGTTATTGGTCATTAGTCTTTCTTTTTATCTATTTAGTTATATTTGAAATTGTTCAAATGAAGACAACTGAACTTCTTTGGTTTTCTGACAATGTTTGCTTCTCATCTGAGGAGCTTTGTCAATTCTAACTGTAAAAAGGGCGAGTGAAAGTTCTCAGTCATTCAGGTCATGGTACTCCAAAGGGTTCAAATGAAGGCAACTGGACTTCTTTGGTTTCTTGAAGACGTTTCTCTTCTCATCCAAGGAGCTTTGTCACTTCAAAATGGAATATGGGAGAGTCAAGCCTTTAAGCTGTAGCTGTTTCTTGTTATTCAACGAGTCAAAACTGCTGTGGGTACCCCGGCTCTCCATCCAATGCTGCGCGATCTGTTACAGCACAGTAACAGGAGCCTATCATGCAGTGGCGCGTGCTGCGCTTGGACTCTCTGACCATGTGACAATCCATCTGATCCCAGCTTACAAACAAAAGCTAAAACTCTCCAAGCCTGTGGTGAAGTCAACAAGACAGTGGAACACAGATGCCGCAGATGAGCTTCGCTCATGCTTTGAGACCACAGACTGGGAGGTAATGAAGGCCACCTCAGACAGTTTAAATGAGTTCACAGATATCATGTATTTATTCTATTAAATAGATGATATACAAACCTGAGGGAATGTATGTCTTCTATTTAATAGACAGATTACCTATTAAGCAACAAAGACCTGTCTTGTTATTGGTCATTAGTCTTTCTTTTTATCTATTTAGTTATATTTGAAATTGTTCAAATGAAGACAACTGAACTTCTTTGGTTTTCTGACGATGTTTGCTTCTCATCTGAGGAGCTTTGTCAATTCTAACTGTAAAAAGGGCGAGTGAAAGTTCTCAGTCATTCAGGTCATGGTACTCCAAAGGGTTCAAATGAAGGCAACTGGACTTCTTTGGTTTCTTGAAGACGTTTCTCTTCTCATCCAAGGAGCTTTGTCACTTCAAAATGGAATATGGGAGAGTCAAGACTTTAAGCTGTAGCTGTTTATTGTTTTCAACGAGCCAAAACTGCTGTGGGTACCCCGGCTCTCCATCCAATGCTGCGCGATCTGTTACAGCACAGTAACAGGAGCCTATAATGCAGTGGCGCGTGCTGCTCTTGGACTCTCTGACCATGTGACAATCCATCTGATCCCAGCTTACAAACAAAAGCTAAAACTCTCCAAGCCTGTGGTGAAGTCAACAAGACAGTGGAACACAGATGCCGCAGATGAGCTTCGCTCATGCTTTGAGACCACAGACTGGGAGGTAATGGAGGCCACCTCAGACAGTTTAAATGAGTTCACAGATATCATGTATTTATTCTATTAAATAGATGATATACAAACCTGAGGGAATGTATGTCTTCTATTTAATAGACAGATTACCTATTAAGCAACAAAGACCTGTCTTGTTATTGGTCATTAGTCTTTCTTTTTATCTATTTAGTTATATTTGAAATTGTTCAAATGAAGACAACTGAACTTCTTTGGTTTTCTGACGATGTTTGCTTCTCATCTGAGGAGCTTTGTCAATTCTAACTGTAAAAAGGGCGAGTGAAAGTTCTCAGTCATTCAGGTCATGGTACTCCAAAGGGTTCAAATGAAGGCAACTGGACTTCTTTGGTTTCTTGAAGACGTTTCTCTTCTCATCCAAGGAGCTTTGTCACTTCAAAATGGAATATGGGAGAGTCAAGACTTTAAGCTGTAGCTGTTTATTGTTTTCAACGAGCCAAAACTGCTGTGGGTACCCCGGCTCTCCATCCAATGCTGCGCGATCTGTTACAGCACAGTAACAGGAGCCTATAATGCAGTGGCGCGTGCTGCGCTTGGACTCTCTGACCATGTGACAATCCATCTGATCCCAGCTTACAAACAAAAGCTAAAACTCTCCAAGCCTGTGGTGAAGTCAACAAGACAGTGGAACACAGATGCCGCAGATGAGCTTCGCTCATGCTTTGAGACCACAGACTGGGAGGTAATGAAGGCCACCTCAGACAGTTTAAATGAGTTCACAGATACCGTCACCTCCTACATCCACTTCTGTCAGGACAGCATCATACCATCACACACCAGGGTGAGTTATAACAATGACAAAGCCTAGTTTACCCCTAAACTCAAACAGAGAAAAGAGAGATGCATTTAAAAGGGGGGACAAGGACTCCTACAGAGACACTAAATACAGGTTCAGCAAATAATTGGTCAAAGCCAAACACCAGCATCATGACAAAATGCAGCAGCAAATCTCTGAAAATGACCCAAACTCTGTGTGGAAAAGTTTCAGGAACATCACCAACTACAAACCCAGAACCCCCGCCTCCACTGATAATCTGCTCTTGACAAACAACCTAAACAATTTATATTGTCAGTTTGATCAGCCATCAGGCAGGCCTCACTCATTGGTCAGCCACTCCCCACTACAGAACCATCACCATCACTGTGGAATTTACCTTCATCACCCTCCCCCTCACTCCCCACCCATGAGGTCTTCACATCACACACCTCCACCACAAACCTACACATTCATGAAGCAGATGTAAAGAAGCAGTTCAGGTCTCTTAACACATGAAAAGCATCAACATGGCTCTACAATTAATCCTGCAGCATCTGGACTCCCCCGGCACCTACGCCAGGATATTGTTCATAGACTTCAGCTCTGCATTCAACACAATCCTGCCAGACCTCCTCCAAGACAAAATGTCCCAGATGAACGTGCCTGACCCCATCTGCAGGTGGATCACTGACTTCCTTACAGACAGAAAACAACAAGTCAGGATGGGGAAGAACGTCTCGGACCAACGGACCATCAGCACTGGCTCACCACAGGGCTGTGTTCTTTCCCCTCTGCTCTTCTCCCTGTACACCAACAGCTGCACCTCCAAACAAGAGTCTGTCAAACTAATTAAGTTTGCTGACGACACCACCATCATCAGACTCATCTCTGATGGGGATGAGTCCGCTTACAGAATGGAGGCTGAATGGCTGGTGTCCTGGTGCAGCCACAACAACCTGGTGCTAAACACCCAGAAGACAGCCGAGTTTGTTGTGGACTTAAGTCAACCCCCCCCCCCCCCCCCCTTAAATCTGTCTGACACTCCCATCACGATGGTGGACTCATATCGCTTCCTGGGCACCACCCTCACCCAGGACCTAGAATGGGAGCCCACCATCACCACGATCAGAAAAAAGGCCCAGCAGAGGATGTACTTCCTGAGGCAGCTGAAGAAATTCAACCTATCACCACAGTCAATGAGGCAGTTCTACACCACTATCATCGAGTCCATCCTCACCATCATTTAGAACACAGGAAAGAGCCGCAGCAAACTCCACTTCAGTCGCCATGTTTATGACAAACTCAGAGTTGTTGTGTGTGACGTATGCTACCCAGCGCTGATTATCAGCTCAGCTACATTACAGGTACTAGAAAGGTGAAATCGAAGCCCCCCATCTCTAGTTAAAGGGGTTTTTCCCACATTTGACATAGATAGCTTATTTTACTCCTCTGTCAAACCATATATCTTCTCTGTCGAAAATGTGTACTTTGTCAGGAGTGTCCCTTGTCCTTCAGGTGTAGGTGGACTGCAGAGTCTTGACTTTGTTGTTGAATAATAGACATGTACAGTGTACAAGATTGAATCTCCCATATTCCACTTAGACATGACAAAGCTCCTCAGATGAGAAGCAAAATGTCTTCACAAAACCAAAGAGCCCTTTGACTGAGACCCTTCACTAGTGTACACCAACATACTGTTAAGGGTTCTCACTCATCCAGGTCATGGTAGTCCAATGGGATTCAAATGAACGCAACTGGATTTGTTTGCTTTCCTGAAAACGTTTTGTTTCTCACCCAGAAGCTTTGTTACATTGATGTTGAAGCTTTGATGAGAAGCGAAACATCTTAACTCTAACCCCTTTGAATGAATTTGCACCAAAACTAGTTAAGTCTTTGGAGCTTTTCCAGTGACATTGCAATGGTTCAGAAAATCTGCCATATCTGGGTTCACTTTTTAATAAAAAAAACACTCATCGATGCTTTCTTTATAAACAGTAATACCCACAAACAATTTTAGTTTAATATGTATTTCTGAAACCTTACCTTGGCAGGTTGTAGTTGGCAAATCGGGAAACAAAATCTTCAAAGAAGATGGAGAAATGCACAAATAAAGCTACTAAAAGTAAAAGATGGCTTCCACTTCACAGCAAAAACTGAGAAAGCTTTGACCCAAAGAGGTTTTACCAAGTAAATGGCACAGAGCCTAAACAGCATGACCTTTTTATAACCAAAGAGGTGGGCCAGGTTACCGCCCACCTATTGATACACTAAATGCAAGGGTGTGGCTTTCCTGTAAGTCAGAGAAAACAACATTTAAGAAATAAACTTATATAACTTCTCTTCTATCTGTAAAAGTTTAAAAGTTGGTTTAATATCATCATAATTTACAACAACACCAAAGAATAGAGTAAATATATGATTTGTTTAAAAATAAAACAAAATTTTAATAAAATCTTTGTAAGAGCAGAATCACTTTTGGCACATTTTTATCTATCTATACAGTTTTGCTCTGGTAGGGTTTAGAAATAGGTTATTTCACCAAATGATGATGAATATGAACATTTAGTAACACATGTGAACATTGTAACATTAAATAGTTCTCAAACAAGTAGCTGAAATTAGGACTGGACAGTTGTAATGTTTTTTATGCTCTGATCATGTCAAAACTGCAATTTATTCAGAACACTGCAGCTTTAGTTTTAAAAAGAACCAAAGTAACTGAGCAAAACACTCCTATTCTTACATTTTTAGATTAGCTAGCTGTA